ATTTTGCAAAGAAGTTCCATACCTCTGAAATAATATTCGAGCTGTGTCTGAGTGATCCAGCTCAGGACTGGGGGGGCCATTTGGGGCTGGTTCTTGATTTTGTTTGAACCCCAGCAGAATCCTATACTATAATAACCACACAGTTCCTAATATTTAACCTGGTCAGCAGTAGCCTAAAGGCATGGTCCTTCTCACTGAAAACTTAGAATGCTGGGCTCTTGCTTTTTGGGTGGGTTTTTATTCTCTACCAAAAAATGAAACATTAGAAGTAAACATGTAAGCTTTTCCTTCTCTTAGAAATGTATCTACCAGTCCACAGAGAGAACTCACTTAGCTGCTTGTAGTAGGAATCTGACTTACAGTGAAACAGGAAAAGGAAACTTTCAAGTGGTCTGAGGACTGCCTTTCATATGAATTCATATTCCATAAGAATTTATGTAGCAGTTATCAATATATACATTACATGGCATATATAGATATATGTTGTAGAGGCAATATAGATATATAGATATACATTGTAGAGATGTATAAATAGATATGTAGATATACATTGTAGAGACTGTTGCACTGTACCATAGCATAGTTTGAGCTTCTGTAGGCAGTTGATCCTAAGAATTAACAATTCCTCTCTCCTGGGGATACAGTGACAGAGAAACAGCTTTATAAGAAGTTGGCCAGTCAAGATTCCTGGGATAGTCACTAAATTAGTTTTCTGCCCTTCTGAGCAAAGGTTGTGAATGGTCTATTCTATTATATTTTCCTTTCTGGCATGTTTTTATGTTGAGTCTACCAGCAGAGAGAATTGGGCCCTTAAAGCTATGTGTGTGTATATTAAAAGATGAGATTTGATTGATACATCCTATACCCATGAATTTGTTCAGTTGCTGACTAAAAGACTTAATAGCCTTAGTGTTAACTAAAGATAAATTAGTGTTTCATGAAAACTCTTCTAATGAAATACTAAATTAAATAAAACCCTTAGCATCAGTTTGCAATGTGCACATATTAGACGTGTTTCCGAGATGAGGAGGAATTCCTTATACCCTGTTTTCTCTTAGGTCCTATGGGATTTGTTTTTAATTGAGAAGAGGGACAAAAATGGAGAATTGTGAATTTCCCACTGGTATATTACTGTAGATCAGTACTCTGTCTGCTAGGCTGTCTTGGATTAACAGTATAAAATGATGGCTAAAGGTTTCTGTGATGAACAAAGCAAGTGTCAATTTTAAAACACCAGTTGGGGGGAAAATGTTTCTTAAATTGCCATAAGTTCTTCTAGTGCTAGGACATTTTCAGTAGACACTTTGCTATATTTCTGTCAGATAAAAATTATTGCCACTGGTGGGGACATCATAATTTAACTTAGTAGGAAAAGACATCTTTTCTAATTAAGTGTTCAGGTATTTTTCTTAACTTGCCTTCAGTCTATAGTGGGCATGGGTTGTCTGAATGTGCTGGTCTGAGCTGAAGTAGAGTTCAAGTAGAGGTTCTTGGTTGCTAGCTGTGGTTAAACCATGACACTGAAGTAGGTGTAAAGAAAAAATGTAATGCTGTGGAAACCTTGGTGTGGAATGTAACAATGATCACTGGATCTCAGTTCCTGTACATCTGTGGTTAGGTAACGGTGCTGGGATCATTTATTCCTTTCTTGGGAAATGACCCATGAGCTCAAGGGCCATGTTTCACGGTAAAGAATTTGATTTAAATTTCCATTCCATTTAATCTTTGTTGCAGTTGGAGCTGCCAACAAAGATGCCTTTTGTAATGTGGATATATCCACTAGGAAAAATTGACAGATGGTAGTAAAATCTTGTACCAATAATCCAGGCTGTGTTTGAACTCATGACCTATATGTGAAGGGCTCAGTATCCCATTACAAATCCTTTGAGCTATCTACTCATCTGTGTCTAATTTTCAATAAGTCCCTGTCTTATACCTATTTCTTCTTTCAGTGTTTTGGAGAAGTTAGTTTCCTCATACCTTTTCTATCTGTGAATGTTGTTTTGACATTTTTTCCACATTTTGATTTGCTCAGATACTACCTTTTTCAATTACCAAGCCTGCCTTTCCTATGCTACCTTGTATTTCATTATCCATTAAAAGGGGGATGGTTTGGAATTTACTAAAATTAATTTCTGTATATGAATTAATGCAAACATTTGTATAAAGACTAATGAATGTGACCCTGTTGTGTGTAACAAGTTCAGGAAATTGCTCAGATTTAAAGTGAGATTTTAACAGGTGAGGAAGGACAAAATTGGCATAGAGATCCTTAGTGATTCTTGGGAGAACTCATACAGTTATAAGGTCATTGTTTGAGATCTTCATTAATCTGTTCATGAGACCTTTCTGCTCTTTGCTGTGACCAAAAAATGCAAATGTGTGTTTTCTAGGGGTGTTAATTTGTTGTTTGAGGTTATTACTGTAACAGTAATCCTACTATAACATAGCCTTAGTTTTTATTAAAGTATGGAATAAAAGGTAGTTTCTGCCATAGCTAGCTTCCTTTGGTATTCGAATTCTTAACAGCCTAAAAATGGAGATTTGGCTTTGAGCTTCTTGTAATGGCTAATATCTAATAATTTTGTTGACAACTCGGGCTAACCATCTGCTCCTCCATCAGCAGATCATGCCAGTAGTAGGGGGATTCACAAACTATGTAGAATCCCTTGTATTTCTCTCTGAAATTTTAGATAAGAAAAAATAATTTTCATTTGTATTGTAAATGTGAATGCAGAAATAAGCTGCATCCAATTGCATTTTTAGTATGTGAACTAATTTATGTATCCAAAAACCAGCATCTTTTTGTGCAGTCCATTATAGGAAATACTGTAATTGGATATTTAATTTAGTGTTAACCAAAGGAGCTAGTGACCTGCAAATTTCAAATTTATTAAATTAGTGCATTTCAGCTTCTTTAAAGGAAACGCAGCTGTCTCCCTGTGTGACAGATACACTAACATCAGAATAGTTTTCTGTCATTAAGTGCATTTGTCCAAACTCCAGGCCTCCATGAGATGCACTCATGTAAAATATCCTTTGGACAAAAAGTGACTGTTCAGAAAGATGCTTACACACCTATTGGAAGTAACTTTTTTTCAGAAAGGCTCTAAATCATGTGCTTTGCCTGCAAGAATGTGTGCAAATACTTTTTTTTTTTCTGAATCAGGAGTTGGAGGCTACTAACAAAACTTATTCTGACTGGTATGTAAAATACTTGCCCTTTATAGGAGTGCATTTTAAAGCATTAGGTTACAATGTTATCAAATCACAGTATACTCTTTC